TTGGTCTCTCTACTTTTCATATATATATATATATATATATATATATATATATATATATATATATATATATATATATATATATATATATATATATACAGTTGAAGTCAGAATTATTAGCCCCCCTGTATTATTAGCGCCCTTGTTTATTTTTCCCCCAATTTCTGTTTTATAGAGGGAAGATTGTTTCAGCACATTTCTAAACATAATAGTTTTTAAAACTTATTTCTAATAACTAATTTATTTTATCTTTGTCATGATGACAGTAAATAATATTTTGCTTGATATTTTTCAAGACACTTCTATGCAGCTTAAAGTGACATTAAAAGGCTTAACTAGGTTAATAAGGTGAACTAGGCAGGTTAGGGTAATTAGTCAAGTTATTGTATGATGATGGTTTGTTCTGTAGACTATCGAAAAAAAAATTAGCTTAAAGGGGCTAATAATTATGTCCCAAAAATGTTTTAAAAAAAAATTAATAACTACTTTTATTCTTGCCGAAATAAAACAAATAAGACTTTCTCCAGAAGAAAAAATATTATCCGACATAATGTGAAAATGTCAATGCTCTGTTAAACATCATTTGGGAAATATTTAAAAAAGAAAATAAAAATGAAAAGGGGGCTAATAATTCTGACTTCAACTGTATATATATATATATATATGCAGCTGAAGTCAAATTAATTAGCACCCCTGTTTATTTTTCCTCGTTTTCTGTTCAACAGAGAGCAGCTTCTCCCAACACATTTCTAAACATAATAGTTTAATGACTCATCTCTAATAACTGATTTATTTTATTTTTGCCATGATGACAGTAAATAATATTTTACTAGATATTATTCAGCTTACAGTGACATTTAAAGGCTTAACTAGGTTAATTAGGTTAACTAGGTAGGTTAGGGTAATTAGGCAAGTTATTGTATAACGATGGTTTGTTCTGTAGACTATCAAAAAACAAATTAGCCTAAAGGGGCTAATAATATTGACCTTAAAATGGTGTTTAAAAAATTAAAAACTGATTTTATTCTAGTTGAAATTAAAGAAATAAGACTTTCTCTGGAAGAAAAAAAATATTATAGGAAATACTGTGAAAATTTACTTGCTCTGTTAAACATCATTAGGGAAATATTTAATAAAGAGAAAAAAATTCAAAGGGGAGCTAATAATTCTGACTTCAACTGTATGTATATACACACACACAAACACACGCACACACGCACACGCGCACACGCACACATACACAGAATTGGAATCATGAATAATCTTTGCAAATTCTCTGCAGAGATCTGTTTAAGTGTCATGAATCTCCTAATAATTTGTCGAGGCAGGTATGACCCTAAAACTCTTAAAGAAACTTTATATTGGGAAACATGGAGTTGAGTTTCCATCCAGCCGATCTCCAGGTCTGGCAAGAGCACTTTTAGCTTAGCGTAGCATGGATCATTGAGTTTGATCAGCTCATTAGCATCTCACTCAAAAATGCTTTGATAATTTTCCTATTTAAAGCTTGATATTCTGTTGCTACATTGTGGTTTAACAGAAAATAAAATTTTTATACTGCTATTTTCTAGGCTGATATGGTTAGGAACTATAATCTCATTCCAGTGTATTAATCAAGGAACTTGCTGCAGTAATTTTATTATGCAAAATCTAAAAATTAGCTAACTTCTGTCAATATAGCCAATGTAGCCACTTGCAACCATAAAGATATTCGTTTAAGATAATTCAAAACTATTTTCAGGTTCATGGTACAGCAAAAAAGTTCCTTGATGACTACGCCAAAATGAGAGTATAGTTAGTCATATCAACCTATAAAATAGCAACTTTTCTGTCAGCTTTAATACATGTTGTAACAACAACATAATCACTTTAAACGGAAAAATAATCTAAACTCACTTAAACAAGATGCTAATGGTCTAATCTGATTCAATGATCTATGCTAAGCTAAGCTAAATTGCTCCAAACAGACGTGAAAATTGGCTGAAAGAATTAAAAAAAGTATACCTCAATTGTCTAACTTAAAGCAAGTTTTAAAATGAGCCTATTCTCATTAAAAGTGCCTTAAACTGAAAAATTATTTTAACTATTTAATTATTTTGTATGAGATGCTAATCTGATTCAATGATCTACGCTAAGTGAAGCTAAAAGTGCTCCTTGGCAGACCTGGAAATCGGCGGAAGGATTAAAAAAATTGTAAACCTTAACTGTTTAACTAAGGAAGTTGTAAAAAGAGACTATTTTATAAAAAGTGAAGTGTTCCTTTAAAAGCAGAATCTGTTTCAAGAGTTGCGGATGAAACACAAATCTTGGAATCGGTCCTTCGGTAATTACCAGTTGATCGGCTTAAACAGCCTCGCTCTGTAGGCACTGATGAAACGGTCACACTCTGGACTGCAAACCGCAAGTAAATTAACTTCTTAGAGGTGTGTGTGTGTGTATGAAAGTATGAATGAATAATCACTGCGCAGCTGCCGTGTACCCGAGAGGCTCTGTTGATCAAAGTGGCATGAGGAGACTCTTTCAGATGAGGCCAGGGACGTCTCAGGACACACAGACTTGCATAATTATACTCACAGACACAGATACAAAATACTACTTGGAGAAAATAATTATTTAAAAATAAGTTGTAATGTCTATTTATTTTGGGCAATATTTGTTTTAAAATGCAGATTTATTTTAATTTTATGTATTCAATAATATTGCATATAAATACAACTAAATATTGCACAAAATAAAATTAAATATTAGGGTTAAAAATAAATATTGCACACAACAAACAGACATTACAACTTGTTTTCAAACAATTAAAAATTATACTATACAACTACATATACATATATATATATATATATATATATATATATATATATATATATATATATATATATATATATATATATATATATTTTTTTTTTTTTTTTTTTTAATTCATTTACTTTTTTTCTTTCCAAATGATGTTTAACACAGCAAGGAAAATTTCACAGTATGTCTGATAATATTTTTTCTTCCGGAGAGAGTCTTATTTGTTTTATTTCGGCTAGAATAAAAGCAGCTTTAAATTTCTTTAAAACCATTTTAAGGTCAAATTACTAGCCCCTTTTAACTCTATATTTTCGATAGTCTACAGAACAAACCATCGTTATACAATAGCTTGCCTAATAACCCTATCCTGCCTAGTTAACCTAATTAACCTTGTTAAGCCTTTAAATGTCGCTTTAAGCAGTATAGAGGTGTCTTGAAAAACATTTAGTAAAATATTATTTACTGTCATCATGGGAAAGATAAAATAAATCAGTTATTATAGTTATTAAAACTATTATGTTGTCAACAACAACAATAATTACTTTATAACCAATATAATAAATACATTTATTTATGACATCAACAACAATAATAATAGTTTATGACCAATATTGCAAATTATTTTTAATGTAGTATTTTTTAAACAATATTTTACATTTTTATGCAGTAGCAAAGTTTATTTTGTGCGGTCTGTAATGAGACTCAGCTTATTGATTTCATTTTCAGCATCGTCTGGAATGCCATCGGTTTTTGCAGCACCAATTATTATTTTACCCAAAAAGTTGGCAAAAAGTTCAAATCCATAATGCAGAAGCACCAAAATGAACAGTACGAAGTTTTGCTTCAACCACAGTTTTTTAAGGACAAAATAAATGAGAAATACTATAAAAAATTATACAGAACAATCTATTTACATACAAACAAGATTTTTCCAAGGGCCAGAGCTGCCTAAAAACAAAGTTAATTTACCCTGTTGTGTGAGAAAAACTGTAGAAATACATATACAGTAGACTTTAGAGCAGTTTCTCAACTGGTGGGTCGTGACCCAATAGTGGGTTGCGGGAACATTTTCTGTGGGTCGCGGAGTGTGTGGTCAAAAAAACAACAAAAGTGAAAAAAACTTTACTTGTTTGGACTTTTATTATGAAATGCGTGCACGACAACTATACTGTTTGACATGTGAAATTTTATTCAATTATAGCAACAAATATGTCGAAGCGTAAGTACAACCCTGAATATGTCAAGTATGGATTTACATATATTGACGGCAAAAAAGACTTAAAGCCTCAGTGTGTCATATGTAGAGAGGTGCTCCCACAAAAGAACACAAAACCTTCTAAATTAAAACGACATTTAGAAACCAGACAACATGTTTTATTAACAGTTTAGTTTAGTTCATGGTAACTGAACCTTTCCTTACCCTAACCACTGTTTACAGTATTTGTCGTTTTTACTTTGTAATATTTCTACAATATGATACATTTTGTTAAATGACAGCGATAAAATAGTTTATTTGTAAGTCTCTGTGATTTTCTTATGATTTATGTCACTACTTGTGTATGCTAACAAATGAATACAAATTAATCATAATTCTTAAAATTGTATTAAAGTTCCTAAAAATTTGGGTCACGGCTTGATGACCATGTAAAAATGTGGGTCCCAAGGCCAAACCTGTTGAGAACCCCTGCTATAGAATGTTTGGAGCCACATTATAGTAAATTACTTGAAATAACCTGTTGTGTTTTTTTTTTTATTGCCATGGTAATACAACTAACAAACAATAAACCAAATAATCTCATTTTCTACAACTATGGGGCATATTATACCACAATAAAGCCCAGTTTACTGCAGTAAAAATGCTTATACAGTAGTATTTACTGCAGTTTATCCATTCAGTATAGTTTAAACTACAGTATGAATCAGCATCGATTAACAGGGTTGTAAATGCTCTAACATATACTGTATAACACCATTTACTATAGCACTGTTCAAACACTATAGTATCTACAATAAATTAAAAAAGTATTTTTATGTGCACTCCAATTCATTCTCAAAGAAAATCACTATTACTGCAAAAACAGCTTTGTACAGTGCACATGTTTGGTTTACATTGCGCACAAAAAAAAACTGCTTAATCACGGTTATTTGAATGACAATTCCACATCAGCCCAAATGCCAAGGTCCTGACGGCCGTGACTCACCTGCGTCTTGCCCAGGAGTTTATACGCCAGCTGAACTTTGGTGTAGTGAGAAACATCGAAGTGCTTGCAGGTTTTGGACAGAGCCACATCCAGCTGCTCCTGCACAGATCAACAGCAAACATTACAGCGCATACTGTATGAGGATCAGTGATGCTCGACTCATTTCATACAGTTTAGAATGTCAAGAACTGATCAAACATATTGCTTAAAGTAAAACTGCATAAAATGAATAGTCAAAAGCTGTAAGAAAGAAATATTACATAAACAAATACCTCATAAACTTATATAAAAGTAAATATCAAGGAAACGCCTGGTTTTCGACCACAATAATTCATTAGTATGGCGGAGGGACTCGTTTTGCAGGCAATACAGCGTTGATTTGTCTTGGGAATGACTGATACAAGTCCTACACAGTAGCCAGAGGGATTTGGAGCCATCCGTCATGCAGAATAGTGGCCAGATCACCACATGATGCTGGTGGAGAAAAACATTTCTGCAAAAAACCCCAAAGTGGTTCAGTAATAATTAGGTCTGGTCACTGTGCAGGCCATGAGTGTTCAACTTCACTTTCATGTGTATCAAACCACTCTGTCACCAGCCTATGTCATATGTATTGGTGCATTATAATCCTAATACACGTCAACGCCTTCAGGATGCAAAGTTTGAAACATTGAGTACACATGGTCCTCCATTTTGGTTTGGTAGTCCTTGGCAGTGATGTGTATTGGGCCTAGGGAATGTCATGATATTGCAGCCCTAAAACCATCACTGATCCCCCCCCATGCTTCACTATGGGCATGCAACAATCTGGGTGGTACTTTTCTTTGGGGCTTCTCCACACCGTTACTCTCCCAGAAATGAGAAAGACAGTGAAAGTGGACTCATCAGAGAAGAATATATGTCTATACCCCAAGATTTTTGCTGATGGCACTATTGAAACCGATGTTTGGCATTGGTATGAGTGACTAAAGGTTTGGCTATAGCAGCCCAGCCATGTGTTTTGACCCTGTAGACCTCCGAACCAACAGGTTTGGTGGAAATTATTGTAAATAAATTATTATGAATATAAAATATTGCTTAAAATCCAGTATAAAATAAAGCTGCATGAAAAAATAATACTGAATTTGAAAAAAAAAATTGCATTGAAAGAAAAAACATTGTCTTTGGTAAAATTCTGCAAATTCAAAAAAATAATAATATTGAATTAAATAAAACAATTTCATTGCTCAAAAAATACATAACTGAATTAAAAGCTAAATAAAATAGTACATACTGTACAATATATTTTGCTTAAAAATAAAATTAAACACTGCATTAAACATCTGCATAAAATAAAATAATAAAAGTAAATTACTATAACATTAAAATTAAATTAATATAACATTAATATTAACGACATTAATATATATATATATATATATATATATATATATATATATATATATATATTATATATATATATATATAAATTGGGCAAACAAACACCAATTTAACAGTGTTTATAAGATGAAAAACTTAAAATCCTCATTCTATAATCTTAAGACGTATAATTACAAGGGCCATGAAAATCTGCACTTTAAATCACTGATGAACCTGAACTGATTTTGAGCTGAAAGACAAGCAAGCACATTCATAATGAGCTGCGACAGAAATAGCTAATTCACAGTGTTTCAGGGCACTCTTCGGTTCTGGTGATGTGTGAGTGATGAGACCAGATAAAAAGATGAGGAGGGAGGGAAAGGAATGAAAGAAGAAGAGGGAAGAAAGTCTATATGTAAAAAAGGGATGTATGCCAGGCTGCATGATATCCAATTACAATCACCAAGCTGATATTTGTGGCAGAACAGACTTCAGAACAGACACCACATCCTGACAGATAGAAGAGAGGAGAAAAGATAGAAAAAAAAATATATATATAGCTAAAAATACTGCATGGATATAAAATAATAAAATGTGTTCAAATGAAAGTAAAACAATGTATAAAACGAAATAAAACATTACATGAAACCAATAAATAGGTATATAAATAAATAAAAATGCAAATAAAGGTAACATTTTTACAAAAGCAATAGTACATTAACAAAACAAAACACTGCAAAATCTATTTTATTTTATAAAATAATAACTGTGCACAAAAATAAATAAATAAATATATAATTAATATTGACAAATACTCAACAAAACTCATGTAATGAGCAAAAAAAGTTGCCTTAAAAATAAAAAAATAGCTAAAACATTGCAAAATATAATATAATATAATATAATATAATATAATATAATATAATATAATATAATATAATATAATATAATATAATAGGTGAAATTAATGATGGACAAAAAAGCAGACTGCATAAAAAATAAAACACTGCATAAAATACAGTTTTGTAAAAAAAAATATATATAGTGCATGAGGGGAAAAAAGATGTAAAAAATGCACAAAATAAATTTTTGAAAAAAAAAATGATAATGCCTAAATACAGTTGAAGTGAATAAAACTGCATAACAAAAATTTCTGAAAAAATACTCTATGAAATTCAATAAAAACAACTCATGAATTAAAAATAGCTAAAAATATTGCATAAATATAACATAATAAACGGTATAAAATTTAGAGTAAAACATTACATATCAAAACATGAAATAAAATTAGACAAATATTTGCCAAAACAAGCACACTGCATAAAAATAAAACACTGCATAAAATGCCATTTTGCAAAAAAATAAAAAATAAAATAAAATAAATAGTAATTATATACTGCAGGAAAAAAAGATAGAATAATGCATCAAATAAATTGTGGAAAGAAAATATAATAATGCCTAAATATGTATAAAGAAATGCAATTATTGCATTACAATATAAAATTGGAATAAATACTGCACAATAATATAATATAATATAATATAATATAATATAATATAATATAATATAATATAATATAATATAATATAATATAATGCAATATAATACAATATAATATAATATAATAAAAAATGCAATTTTAAAAACATAAAAGTAAATAATTAAAATAGAAATAACTATAATAAAACTGCATACAATAAATGAATGAAAAAAATACTCAATAAAATTCAATAAAAATAATTCATTAATGTAAAAAGAACAACTGCCTCAAAGTAAAAAAATGGCTAAAATATTCCAAAATAAAATATATAGAAATATATAATAAAACTATTATAAAATTAAAATATTATAAAATAAGAAAACATTAAATAAAATTAGAAAATGTATTAATAGATAAATATTTAAAATACAAATAAAATACTGGCAAAACAAATAACACTGCATAAAAATACAATTTTGTAAAAAAATATATATATATATTGGTTATATAGTGAATGGAAAAATGATAAAATAATGCATGAAATTAATTGTTGAAAAAAATAAAAGAATGCCTAAATATTTATAAAAAATAAAATAAAATAACTGCAATTATTGCATTAAAATATGAAATTGGAATAAATACTGCACAATAATAATAATAATAATAATAATAATAATAATATTAATAATAATAATGATGATAATGATGATGATGATGATGATGATAAAACTGCATAAATACTGCTGGAAACAAAGCTGCAAGACATACAATAAAGTAATTTTCGTTTATAAAATATAAATATTACAAATTAAATATAAAAAACAAAACCTTATAATAAAAAAATATAATGCTGCTACTATAAATAATTATATTTCATCATTTCTAAACGTTCTTTATTGCTAAAAATGCAAGTAAAATAATGCACAACAACAAGCCGAAATATCATAGAGAGAAATACATTAAAAGCAGAGAAAAAAAGCAAGATGATGAGTAATGAGTTGTGTGTGAGGCTGGGTGCCATCCAATCACATTCAGCACGCAGTCAACAAACAGCACTGCTGGGGGAAATGCATGAGTGACTATGTAAGCGCGTGTATGTGTATGTGTATGTGTGTGACAGCAGAAGCTCCAGCACAGATACCGACATCCTGAAAGCCAGCAATTGATTTAATAAACACACAGTCCATCTGCCCAGGGCCTGAGAGAGAGCAGACTGAGACCCTGAGCACCACTATCAGACCAGCAAACCCACACTCAAGTGTTCTTCCCATCTGTTTCCTTCATTTAATGCTGAGAGTCAACATCAGGGCAACTGCTGTGTCGAATCTGTCAGTGTTTCTGAAGAGAATCTCGATGTCTGATTCAATGAAGATGAAGGTCAGCATAAAAGACTCTCAGTTTGTCCTTTAAAGGGGAACTACTATGCAAAAATCACCTTTATACAGGCTTTATACACAGTTGTGTGACAACAGTGTTTAAAATATTACAGAAAGTGAAAGTTTAAATGAAAATTAAATTAATTAAATAAAAACTAAACGTCCATGTTTAATGAAGCCAACAGAACATCGTCTGCGTATACAGAGATGTTGTTCTTATGGCATCATCGAACATGGACCTTCAGCATGCACTGGGGCGGTTTGCCGCCGAGTGTGACGCGGCTGGGTTGAGAATCAGCACCTCCAAATCCGAGGCCATGGTGCTCCACCGGAAAAATGTGGTTTGCCATCTCCAGGTTTGGGGAAAGTTCTTACCTCTGGTGGAGGAGTTTAAGTACCTCGGGATTTTGTTCACTTGTGAGGGAAGTATGGAACCTGAGATTGACAGCCGGATTGGTGCAGCGGCAGCAGTAATGCGGTCGCTGAACCGGTCCGTTGTGGTAAAGAAGGAGCTGAGCAGAACGGCAAAGCTCTCAATTTACCGGTCAATCTATGTTTCTACTCTCAACTATGGTCATCTTGGATACAAGCGACCAAAATGAGTTTCCTTTGAAGGGTGGCAGGGCGCACTCCTATGGATAGGGTGAGGAGCTCTTACACCCGAGAGGAGCTTGGAGTAGAGCTGCTGCTCCTCCACATCGAGAAAAGTCAGCTGAGGTGGCTCGGGCATCTGTTTCGGATGCCTCCTGGACGCCTACCTAGGGAGGTGTTCCAGGCATGTCCCACCGGGAAGAGGCCTCAGGGAAGACCCAGGACATGCTGGAGGGACTATGTCTCTCGGCTGACCTGGAAACGCCTTGGGAACCCCCCGAGGAGCTGGAGGAAGTGTCTGGGGAGAGGGAAGTTTGGGTTTCTCTTCTAAGACTGCTGCCCCGCGACCCGGCCCCGGAAAAGTGGCAGAAAATGAATAATTGAATAAATAAAAACTAAAAACAAAATGACACAATAAACAAAAATAAAATAAAATAAATTAAATAAAATGAAGGAAATATTTTATTAAATTAAATAAAAAAGTAAAACATATACACAAAATAATAAACATAATGCACATAAAATAAAATAAAGACCAAATTAAATAAAGCAAAACTAAATAAAATAAAAAACTAAATTAAATAAACAAATATTAATCAAAACTAATTTAATTAATTAATTAAATAAAATAAATAATAACAATTAAAATAAATAAACTATTAAATTAAAATAAAATAATTAAATAAAACAAAACAAAATGAAAAATATAAACAAAATAAATTTAAATAAAAAAAAAATAAATAAACAAAATAAATAAATTATAATAATTAAAATTAATTAATTAAAATAAAATAAATAAACAAAACAAAATTAGAAACAAAATACAGAATATAAACAAAAAATTTAAATAAAAACAAAATAAATTAAAAAAAAATTAAAATATAAATAAATAATAACATTTAAAATAAAATTGTAAATTAATTAAAATAAATAAAACACAACAAAATGAAAAATATAAAGTATAAAGTATTTTGGATACCTCAGGCTGCTGTGATCAACCCACAGAAATGTTTTTCAGTGAAAATTAAATAACTGAAAGAGCTGCAGTTTTTCTATTTATTTTTTTAGATATAATTTATATAAAAGTCACTTCAAAGTAATGTAATTATTCATCTTATTACTTTCTACATGAAGTATTTAGTAATGCAATTGGATTACAATTTTACAGTAGTAGTCAGTGATTTGTAATCCACAACATTTTATAAGTAACTAACCCAACACTGATTACAATTGCTGCGCTCATGAACAATACGCAGCTCTTCCAGTGGTTGCCTAGTGAAATAAAAGCGCAGTGCACTTCTTTTTCTTGTTAACAAAAAAAGGCAGTACAGTGCAGCTTTTGTTTTTTAGAATGAAAAAGTGTGTTTAGTGTGATGGGTCTTTTAGGATGCACAAAGCAACACTGTAGTCTCCATAGACTTCCTTCTTCTGAAACACTTCTTTTGACATGTTCAGTTTTTCACAGAGATAGCCTTAGTCCTGCTTTGAATCTCCCACTATGCTGACACATAGGCATTTGTAGCTCCACCCTCTTTTGAAAAGAGCACAATCTCACTTGAATTTAAAGTGACAGTCACCAAAATGGGACAATTTGGATCAAATAAAAGGCCATTTCAAAGACTTATAAAGAATTATTTGTGTGGTATTTTGAGCACAAAATTTATACACGCTAGAGACAGCAGAAATTAAGGTCCCACTTTATATTAAGTGTCCTTAACTACCATGTACTTACTTCAAACTTTGAATACAATGTACTTACTGTGTTTAAAATGTATTGCAGAACACTTGTGGCGATATTAAGGTGGAATACGGGTAAGATATGGGTAGGTTTAAGGGTGGGTTAAAGTGTAAAGGATCATCAACAGTGTATTTATATGTGTAATTACAGAAATTAAGTGCAGATGTATTTACATGCAGGTATTTAATCAATCTTAAATACAATGTAAAAACATACATTTATACAATAAGCACAAAGTAACGAATAAATAATTTAAATGTAAGTACATACTAGTTAGGACCACTTAATATAAAGTAGGGCCGAAATTGACTTTACAATTTGTATAAAGGGGCATAATTCAATTCAATTCAATTCAGCTTTATTTGTATAGCGCTTTTACAATGTAGATTGTGTCAAAGCAGCTTCACATAAATGGTCATAGTAACTGGAACAGTGTGGTTCAGGTTTTAGTGTTTTAGTGTTTAAGTTCAGTTCAGTTCAGTTTAGCTCTGTTCAGTGTGATTTAATCATTACTGAGAGTTCAAACACTGAAGAGCAAATTCATCGATGCGTAGCTCTACCAATCCTGAACCATAATAGGCGTCCTATAACTGAGAACGAAAAATGAAAAGTCACAAACCTCGATTTGCTCCAGAGTGTCCTGTAGTTTGGAGTTCAGTTCACTGAGGACAAAAAAAAGAAAGAAAGAATATGGTTAAGAAAATACTTCCTCAGTTGATTGGCTACAATTAAGATTTGCAAACATTTTTGGTATTGCAAGTCTTTTTTTAGAATGTCTTAAATATGCAAATTAGCCATTATTTATAGAGCCCCTATTAAGGGTTTCACCGGCCGTTTGCTATTAAAGGAGCAGTAGAGACTGTATGGGACTTTGTCAGTAACTTTTACAGTTCATATGGACCAGTTTTTTCTTCCTCCGGATCATAACATGTAAGTTTCATAAAAGTTGTTTTGTTTTGTGTAGTTCAATTCAGTATGTGTTCAATTGTGTGTTATACGTTGCAATCACCCAGCGCGGCTTGTAATCACTAGTGATGGGTGGTTCATGAATGATTCGTTCATTTTAAACAAATCTTTAATATGACTCGGGAACTACGAGTCCTCTCAGAGAGTGATTATTTCATCCGCGCGTGCGCAAATTTGTGCAGGTGGTATCGTTCATTTCAAGTCTTTTGAGACGTTCATCGCGAAAAGTCAGAAGCCAAACATATGCGTTTAGAGCCGGAAAAAGAATTGATCAGTTCATCTCTCGAGTCCTCTATCGGGTCTGATTCAATCGTTCCTCACAGGCCAATCATATGAGTTTAGAGCCAGAAAAAGAATTAATCCGTTCATCTCTCGAGTCCTCGGGTTTGAGTCATTCTGTCACGTGATGAACGAACTACTCAAGTACCAGAAGACTCGAAAGGTGAACTAATTATCTTGGCTCCTATCGACTGTGTACATTGGTTAAGATTATATGTGACTGTCAGTGTAACGTGAACGAACCACTGAAATTTGAAGACATGAAGAGGTCAGCTGAGCAAAGAGACAACAATACCTTCATAGACAAAAGAGCAGGTAAACCCTGAATCATTATTTTCTCCTTCTTATAGTATTCTATTTATGACTTATTTGTTGTGTGATCAACCATTTGGGCTAGTTGTAGATGTGTTTGAAAGCAATTTAATGATACATTTTAATGATATTTTGGCAAATTGTACCAAATGAACGAAATGACTCGAAAAAAGATTTGTTCATCTCGATGAATGAGGCTCAAAGATCCGAATCAGTAAAATGATCTGAACTTCCCATCATTAGTAATCACGTAACGATTATAGATCAGTGCTTGTACTGTATCGCTCAGGTTAAATCTGTATAGGGCTGTTCACATATTGTGTCCAAAACCACGTTAAAAACATGAGGCGTGCTTCTTCTGTTGCCAAATTAAATGCGTTTCTGAGCTAGTGATCCTCTTCTGTTTGCATTTGCAATGGCCACCATCAGCTGTTCCTCACACACAGCGCAGTCAATTTTTTTAAATAGTTCAACTTTTGCCACTGTGTGGATTAAAACTGAATGTGTGCTGTTGTTATTACTTTGAGTTAGGGTTAAGAGTCAAGTAATATGCTGGTCTGTATTCATTGCATTCCTGCATTGGGCTCTCACATACTCTCTGTCTGCTATTTCATAGCCATGGTGGGCTTTTCTCTCTGTCCCGTGCTGAAAGCAGCCGACCAATCGCAAAAGTCCGGGTCATCGGACCAATCATCACAGATTAGCTTTGCGCTAAGGAGGGGTTTGGGAACAAATGAATCACTGAACGATTTATATGGGAGTCGCTGGGATAATTAGGTAAAAACAAATGCATATTATAAGACAATGACAGTGTTTTTGACCTTGCACGCAGGTCAGCATGTTGTTGGAGACCCCTAAAACCAAAATATGACCTTTTTAATGCAATATTGTTTTTTTTTTTTTTTAAAAACTGTATGTAGGCATGGGACGATAACCATTTTCAAGGTACCGCGGATTGGAAAAGTCAAGGTTTTAAAACCCCCAAAATGTTGTGCTATACAGTACATGTAAGATTTTTTTGTTTGTTTGTTTTTTAGGACAACAGTACACATGAGAATCCAAAAAGTAAAAAAAAAATAATAATAAAAACATAGGAAAGCCTTAAAAGCTAGCCCTAAAATAACCTAAAAAAATTACATTTTAAAAACAAAAACTAGAAAATCCATAACTCTAAAAACATTTTTTATTTTTTTTAAACAAAAATCCAGTGTTTTTGTATTCAGTGTCTGTTTAAACAGAAATTAATAATAACAACATACAACATTATGGTTAAGAAACCAGCAAAAAACATAGCAGCAACATATTGCAGGAACAACACTAAAACAGCCTCACAGAAGCTGACATTTCTCTGAAAATAAAGCACTGACATTTGAAAAGCAGGGGTGTATTTTTAGTGAACGCAGATTCATGCGTATGTTATGAACAGGACAGATGTGTGTTGTTAGTGTGGAGAGGGATGTGCTAAACTAGATGGTGGGTGTTCTGAAAGATGGAATAAAAAAAAATGTCTGGTTGGTTTTTATAATAGCCATCAATAATAAAGCAAATTTAGAGTTATGACAAGCACATAAAAACATGTTTTGGTCATCTGCAAATAACAATGGGTATTGAGATGCAAAAATACAGCACAAAAATCCCATTAAATAATGCTTATAAATAAGTTGCATTAAAAATTTAATATTACATAAAAATTAAATAATGGTTCTATCAAATATTAAATGAATTAAATTGAAATTAAATTAAAATAATAAAAACTGAAAACAAAATGACACACAAAAAAATTAATTATTTAAAAAAAATAAAATGAAGGAAAAAATTAAATTAAATTAAATTAAAAAGTGAAAAATATGCACAAAATAATAAACATAATACACAGAAAATAAAATAAATAATAAAATGAATAAAGCTAATGAAATCAAATAAAAACAAAATAAAAAATAAAACAAAACAAATAAATAAACAAAATAAAAATTAAATAACAATTAAAATAAATAAATTATTTCATTAAAATAAAATAAATAAAACAAAACAAAACAAAATAAAAACAAAATGAAAAATATAAACAAAATAAATTCAAATTAAAACAAAATTAATTAATTAATTACCAATATAAAATAAATAAATAATAATAGTTTAAATAAATAAAATGATTAATTAAAATAAAATAAAACAAAAAACAAACAAAATAAATTTAAATAAAAACAAAATAAAATAAACAAAATTATAATAAATTAATTAATTATAATAATTTAAATTAATTAAATAAATAAATAAAACTAAATAAAAAAACTAAACAAAAATATATATACAAACTAAATTTAAATCAAAACAAAATGAATAAATAAACAAAATAAACAAAATCAATTATAATTAAAATTAATAAATAAAAAAATAAACAAAAGCATATAAAATAAATCAAAAAGCATAAAACAAAACCAAATAAAATTACCATTTAAAAAATCTTATTACATGAACTAATGATTCAATAATAAGCAACCAACACTAAATCTTAGACCTTTTCACAGGGACATGATGAGTTAGGTCACACTGGTTACGTTTACTTCATAAGAATGAAATACAATTTTGCATTAAAGTAATTTAAACAATTTTCATGATTTTCACAAATAACTGCTCAGATATTTCAAACTTTTATATTAAACCCATAAATGAAGAAAATAACTTAAAAAAAGACATTAAGCAGCATGTTACAAGTCAAAAATATAAACATAAAAAATGAACATACAGTATAGTGGACGTGTAATACAAGTCCTGATTTTTGCTGTCTGTAATAGCTGTGCTTTAAAGCAGATGGCCGGCAGCATCCCTAAATGTATCCTCTTTAAATTTCCACCCGTAAATGCACTAAACCTATAACAAGAATTACAGGAAAAAGAAATAAAAATCTGCCCCATATGATCCTAATAGTATCTAAAAGAGCCAGTGCTATAAAGCATTCCCTTGACAACCAGCTGAGACCTAGAAAACCATGATCCTCGAGGCATCTTCGCTGGTGGCCACGCACAATCATCATCTGATAATTAACAACTGCATTTCATTTCACCAGCTGAATGGGCTTGACGTGAGGGATTGCCCGGCTCCTGTTGGCCAGTGTTGTTGAAAGATTAGACAGAATGCATAAATCTTTAATGAAACTGCTTCTTCCTTTTCCTCATCCTTCTCACTTTCCCTTTTCTTTGAAGGCATTGGATGCAAAATGAAGTGCTTCTATCTGGCTTTTTCACACTATTATCCTGCGGTTCAAATTATGGATTGTGCTTCCTGTTTGAGGAACTTCTATTCTAAACAGATCACTTTAAATAATAAGGTTGTGCTTTAAATAATTCATATACACAGTGAAAAACTGAGTGAGAGGAACGTTTGGCTTAGTGCATAATTTTTTTTTTAATCAATCATGAATATAAAAACATGCTTGATAATTTAATGTTACATTTAGAGGTGGATGTTAGTGGGGAATATATTACATATTGATGCTGTTAGTATTATATATGGCTAGGAGATATGAAAAAAATCTCATTTCATGATATAAGTCATTTCATATCCTGATAACGAGACAGTGTGTGCAAAAGCTGTAAGCTGAATTTATACTTTGCCCTGGCTCCGCATCACACACCTCCACTGACTGCGTGCGCACCTCGTGAAACAGACAAGGTTTTTTCACTTGCCGCTTTCACCGTGTGGTATTCTTTAAAACGACAGGGGGCTGTCAAAAGAAACTGGCCGTAAAATCAGACGGATAAACAGAGAAGTAGAAAGTTTTCAGGAACTACGTCAAATCATTAATATCATTCAATATTTTTAAACTGACTATTTTTATTATTTTTATAAATTATTTAAATGATTATAAGGATTTTATAAACATTCAAGGTTTTTTTTTAATCAAACTTCGATGCATCACTTGCTTTTGTTCAGATCTCGGACAGTTTTATTTAACACAATTGAAATAATATAATCAAAACATCAGTATCAGTATATTTAATCAGTGTGAAAAGCAAGTGAATGGATGCAGTAAGTGTTGTCAGTGTATGGATGCGAAACAAAGCATAATGCCCAAATTGGAGCACAGCTCCGGCCAACAGCCAAGTGA